TTCCGTACAATCAGAGTCGACTATATAGGTTTGCATTCTGTCCGTCCGTTCGTCACTATATCTGGGACATATCTCGTATACTCTGCCACCTACAATTGCTAAATTGTGTACAGGGGTGCCTATCGTGAGTGTAGGCGCACGGATACTGGGCTTCAGGTCAAACAATATACAGAGTTATCGCCACTTTTTCAATGTGCATCACTTTACGGAAGTTTGTCCGGAGGTGGGTCCTATATATCTGTCGCAATTCTCTGACGAGTTATTTAAGCATATGTATTTCTCGTATCAGGAATTAAAATAGAAGGAAATTGAACTTAAATCCGGTTCCAAATCACACATGTTTTGGATCGCCAGAGCCAGTGTATCGATATTTATGAGAAACTACGACTCTGATGACGCCATGTACAATAAAAATAGATTAAATGGAATGAAATTATTCATGAAGCAGTATACCCGGGACTCATATGAGTGTTTATAAACTTAATTACAACGCTTCAGTCTCCAAATGTCACAATCAAAGCATTCCAGGTAGTCTACAGGTACAGGTTCGCTGTAATAGTCAATGTAATTAATGCAGATTGGAATAGTTAGCGTTCGAACTCTCCGGCGTGGAGGGCCGTTTAGCTGTAAATATGTTATAAGTGTCTATTGATTAGTAGGTGTATCAATTTCAGTTTAAACGTTTTACTACAATTAATTCACAGAGGAAATCGTAAATTTGAATGTGTTAACAGGGTCAAAGATCATGCTCTTAACTTTATTTCATGGGAACTGTTCCTCGGGCTGGAGCTAGCGACCCCCATTACTACCGGGTAGAACTCTGGCAGTAATGAGTGACTAGGTAATAACAGAGAAAACCAGAGCAGCACTTAACACAGTGATAAAATCTGTCCACTGATGGCGATGATTCAGAAAAAAGTGCGATTTACTTTGGTACTTATAGAAACATACAGGTACGTCCAGAAGGTTAAATGTTGCCGATTAAAGCCCGTTTAGAGCTTCTGATTTCTCAGGTATGACAATTGCGGGTTTTATACGACAACAGGTCCAGGCCATTTTACACGACATAAACATATCTTTTGGAAGTACATGGACGCCTGAATGAACAGAAAGTATTTCTTACTTTTTCTCTCTCACTAACACGTTAGGAATAAATGAGCAATATAAATTTCAAAAGTCATAAACGCGTCGGGGTTAGTTCAACATAATGAAAACATGGTTTTTTGGGTTCTTGAAATATGCAAAAGTTGTATATATTAAAGGTCAAAGGTCGTACATGCTTGAAGGTTACCAAGGTAACCGGGAACGGTGACCAAGGGTTGCTACGAGCTTTATTGCGTTTTAAATAGCTACGAAACACAATCGTCACAAAACCGTGTCCGGAGGATGTGGGAAAGCACCAGCAGGAGGGACATTACAAGTGTCAATTAATTAATCTTACAAATATAAACATATTAAACAGGTTCTTAATGAAATGTCTTGATCATTATCACGATTCACAAACATAGTTTCGGTCGAGTTTTATTTGTTATGTGCGTGTGTAACATTTGGGTATGGTCAAATCGTGAGGCTGAGAAATGCATCGATACACATCTCTGATCCGTGTCAGCCGGAATTATACTCGATTGCATACGACATATTTATGTGCAAGATTATATATTTATCTCACCAACTTCCCCCACTTAAAAGGTATTAGTAAAATCACACAAAACACACCTGATGCGCTTCGACTGAAGATACGCGTAATTTTATCTGGAAAAATGTTTTGTAATTCTGCACTGCTACCTCGCACGTTTAACCTGTTAAAACGTATCGGTTTATGAGTTTATATGTTTCAAATTTTCTCATGTGAATCTCAAAGGAAAATATTAAAAAAAAACAAAGTGCTTTTAATACTAATGGAGAAAGTTTTATGATGTTGACGTTTCTGCTTTATCATGGTTTGTCATCTTATATTTATCTAGAAGGAGCAATGAAGTACTCAGGGGGAGGGCAACAACACGTCAACGGCTTCACATCTAGATTGTGAAATGGAAGGGAACCAATGTATCAACACTGATGCATTTGTCGAATTACGGCCATAAAATGTTTCAGATTGAACACTTTCTCACATTAAAGACTAGTAAATTCTAGAGAAGAATACTTGTTGGTCGATCGAAACCTCTTAATAAACATACAGGTAAAAATTTACCCTGGTTCAAGAAAATCAAAAAATTAAGATTACATCATTATATGCGATGCTACATACCACTTGGCTCTTGGGTGCCACGACAACGTAATTATAATGGGATTGAACAAAATACGCCGATGCTATGACAACGTTGGTGTGTCACGCGCACGCAAGACGGATGCATACGCCTGCTGTTGTCTTAAACTGATTTGCATACAACACGTTACGAAATATCCAATCTAGTTCGAACAACAATGCACCCGTGACAAAGATATATTGGATATTTAAATGAGTGTGTCCACACATAACAAATACTTTAAGTTTTCTATGTGTTACAGGTAACGGCCTACGCTTTTGACAGCCATACCTATGTTGTGTAATTCCACCGTCTGTTTGGTGATCAGTTCTCTGGGATTTTATATCAATGTAATTACCATAAAATGGAGATATCTCCAAATCAAGTATCGACCCTGTCCTAACTCCGGTTTTATGTTCGACCTGTGTCACACTAACTTCTGTTATACATGGGAGTGGTTCTGTGTCGCAATGTGTGCAAAAGTTCATTCCTGAGAGAAACTTTGACGCCCCACAATTTGCTTTGACTCTGGGTCTGAAAGGACCGGTGTTTTGATGGTCAAATCTGACGGGAAATTTTTATTTGACTTAGGGAGTCGGCATTTACTATATTTTCAGTGTCATCTGAAACGGACATGATTACACTCTAATTGATAATATGTCCAGCTTTGCCAGAAATGACGGGGATTTTGTGCTAAATAAGAAATGATTATTATAGATTTAAATATTTAAAATTATCTGAAATTGCTACATTGAGATGAATTTTGACAGAAACACGTTGCTGTTGTTATTTTCTAGCGTTTTATTATGTATGACCATTTATCATAAAGATGGGACCAGCAGAGATACTTAACAGCGTATAATTATAATTGAGAGATGAAATCAGGAAACACGATAAGTGCTGCCATTCATCATGTTGTAATAGACTTTAGAATATCGGGTTTATCTTACAAGACGTCGTGATACGGACTTACAGTGTAAGTAGTTATCCTGTAGCCACAATGAACATAGATACGTCTAAATCACAGTAAAATGGGACACTCATTAACATTATTTATATATATGCTCTTTGTGGTTGTATTACTGTCGTTACTTCTGTGATGGGAAGCTGATCATATCGTTTGATATTTTCCATTTTCCATTAAAACTTTCAATTTATGGTAAAATGTTTGTGACGAGTGTGAGACAGCTGGGAGATCGTCACAGCTACAGTCAGCTGCAGAACGCTCCACTGCCACATGCTGTGTTGGAGTACCTACCCGTGTCCAGTATCAACATCATTTACTGTGTCCGGCAAAGTTGCACGTCCAGTGGAGTTGCGCACCCGCTTGTTCAGAGGCAGACAAGGGCGAGAGTTCACATCATAGAATACTGCAAAAAAAACACCAACTAAAACAGTGAAAGACTCAATTATTATTCCAATTCCTTGACGTCTTTGGTCATTTGTCCATCTTACTCAACCTCGACGTTTTTTCACCCGTAACGTTATTTTAATGGTGCGCAAGTCCATTAGACGTAGATTATGATACACACGAAACCGCGAACATTGGTGACACCAACTTAGTGTTCATATCCGCACACCATCGAATATTAGCAATTAGACGCTACCGGAAGTTGTTTTAAAATTAATATACGTGGTGTAAGCAGACCATGACTTTTGTATCCCAAGAGGTACAGGTGAATACACTAACGTCATATAACGTTGAAACAAAATGTAGAATGATTGTGTAGGATTTAGCAGGGAGTTTATAGTAATGGTTATAGTAATACCCACAACCATCAGTAAAATGTGTTCAGCAATACTACCGCTGACGTAGCAAATACTTACAAAAAGGAAAAGGAAAATTCGTTTCTTATGAACCAATGACGTCATGTCACAACGTCTGTACGCTGTCATGCAAACACGTTTACGAAGTAATTCGATATGAACAATGACAAACATGTTATATGAAATTGAATTAATTCCAATATTAGCGCGACTTACATACATCGAATACCTTTCAAAACGTGTCTGACGCTGACCTCTAGTTTAAACATATGACGTGCTTTCAGTGGATTAAACAGACAGTTATCTCTATGACAAACGTTATCCACCTCTTCTCATAATTAAAGGAACTGCCGTCAGAGCTTGTTCTGGAAAAGTGATATTTGTACTGTTTCAACGTACGTGATCACAAGATACCATGTTTATTTACCCATATGAACTAAATCTGTAGATGTATTTAACTTATTGTTTCTTATCAAAACTGTTTATGAAATTATTTCGTAATTTGGAAAAAAAATATACGTTGACGTATTAAGGTAGTGCTCTGAAGCCAGCTCTGTTACTTTCAGTTGATACAGGTACATATTGTTAACGTCTAGCTTTTTATGTTGTAACGTTCCTGTGAAAACAGAAAGTGAAATACATTAGTCTATCATATATATGGGTATGTTGACTTGCTCCACTGGGCCGCACATTTAATTTTAACATTTTAGTGGGTTTTCATGGCGACAATACCTAAGTTGTTACACTTTTGAATGGTGACAAGTGCCGGCGCGGTAAATGGTCCCTGCACCCTTTTGTGAAACATTTGATCGAGACTTCTAGCTATCTGATCTAAAGTGACTCGTAGCTTTTACCTAGCTTAATTATCCCATATTATACGGAATACATTTAGAATATAGCTATTTATCATATTGAAACAGCATCTTGTCCATACCGCCAGCAGTCAGCCTAGCGCAGCCAAGCTTTCGTTGCAGGTAGGTTTTGATGTTGATCCTGGGCACTGCCTGTGATACCTTTATTCCAGAGCCGATCTGACGTGAATGGCTTTATATTTTCCCGTAACATGTCGTCAGTCTTGGAGGGATTGCGATGGCCATTGTGGTACAGACACAGGCGATCACCTGTCGAGGATGTCTGATAGAAAACTCATCCATCTTGGAATTATTTTCGATTGTGTCAGCGCGTGATTTCTTTGAAATTAATGAGTCTGTCTCCTACAGATTTTCTTTCTCCGTCAACAATTATTCATCTTAAACGATTTCAGCACCCATATCTATGTGAGGCAGACTGGTACATTTGGGGTTCTCTACAAAGGTACGTCTGTGGCAGCCATTGTGTACAGGTGTGTCGACACATATGGCGGTTTTCATTTTTACAAGTGGTAATCTCGAGATGACGGAGGTTGGTTGAGGAAGTTCACTCGAGGTGTTTTGTATTGCTATTGGTTTTGTGACTGAATTGGAAATTCTTAAAACTGTAGTGTTATCTAACTTTGGTTTATGAACCTATCTTAGGCTTGGAACTAAAGATATATTAAACTCTATTTATCAAAGTTTGATATCACTGATGAAGATATTAGATTGTGTAGTCGGTAAGAGTGTCAAGCTCTGATAATTCAATTTAATTACATATTAAGTTTTTGTTGGGTATATTTTACAGAATTACACAGTAATGCCTCACTGAGGGTTTAGGGGTTTCTGTTAGTGGATGATGAAGTGAAAGATAAAACATTGGGGGCTTTAGAGTACATTCTCAGGACTATTGGGTGGTGTTGTTTTCCCATACTACAGCTTGTGACATCATCAAACTCTTTCTGATGTCGGTTCATTTCCAAATCAGTGGAGGTTCTCAGTGAAACAATAAACACCATCTCTCTGAAAGGTTCATTTATGTCTTTTGTAAAACATATAAGACACAGGTCTCAATGGGTTTTTTAAGGTTTTGCCTCCATTTTGCCTGGTATATTAAAGGGTTTGTCAAACTTCTCCCAACAGCGCTCAAAGTGACAAATGAATGACTGAACTGCTGTTTCCAATAAGATTGCCAGATTTAGTCACTGAACAAACTTAAGTTTGTCTTTTTCTTACCTGGACTTTCTGTTTGATTTGTTTTTAATTTGTTGACATTTTACTGATGTTTTAGATTTGTTGCTATACTTGTAATGTGGTAGTAGAAGAGAATGGGGTTTTAAAAACTCTGCTTCTTTTATGAGGTTTGTCAGCTTTATTGATGCCTTATGCTAATTATTTAATAGAAGGTAAACGTTCTTTATTTCCTCTTTAGTATGAAACAGTAGTGTGGTATACATACTGATTTTTATGGAGCAAAATGTGTTGTCTATATAAACATGTAGTTAATTGTCACAGTCACACAAGCTCTTTAAGATTTGTTTTATTGTCTAAAAACACAAATCATTTCCCAATTTTCTTAACCCAGTCAGTTTTTTACACCCCTGAAATTTCGAAATGAACTATTCCAACATTTGAATTAGAAGAGCTCACATGTGTCTTCAGGGGTGAACGAGTTAATTAATTAGCTGTTTAAAGAAGGAACTTCTAACAAACACATGTCAGCATTAGTCAGTTTAGTCTATGTGACTGTATTTTATGGGAAAGTCAGAGATAATATATTTTCCAACTTAATTGGTTTTGTTCAAAGTCTGAATTATTTTGTTTTGAAGGTAGAAGGTATCTTAAAATCTGTACTTAGAATCAAAACAAATTTTCTAAAACCAGTTTATATGTATATAAATTAATTAGACTGATGATCCAATTTTGAACAGTGATTGAAATCAATATGGTCAGTAGATAGCACCACCATATATTTATATATATTTAGGGGTAGGTATAGCACACAATTTTTATACTGCAGTATTTAATGGAATTTTGTAATATATCACAACATGTTGTATTCCTAGACATACAATTTTCTGTTGAATACACAAATAATGAGCATCAGTTCAGCAATTTCAATGATAAATTGAAAATTATTTTATGTAATATAAGAGGTTTATCAAAAACAAACAGGTTTAATTAGGTAAATTGATAAATTTCAGCATTATTTCTGTGAATTAATTTGAAACCTGTGCCTAAACCAACAAGAATTTAATTGAGAAAAAAAGCCCACAAAAATATCATATTTCAATTTGTTGGTAATTGCAAAAAGAAAACCCAGTCTTCAATATTTGAGAAAATGTGTTTTGCAAACCAGATCAAGGACACATATTGGTACACTGTTAGGTCTGTCAGGGACACAGCTCGGTACACTGTTAGGCCTGTTAGGGACACAGCTTGGTACACTGTTAGGCCTGTCAGGGACACAGATTGGTTCACTGTTAGGCCTGTCAGGGACACAGATTGGTACACTGTTAGGTCTTTCAGGGACACAGATTGGTTCACTGTTAGGTCTGTCAGGGACACAGAATGGTTCACTGTTAGGCCTGTCAGGGACACAGATTGGTTCACTGTTAGGCCTGTCAGGGACACAGATTGGTTCACTGTTAGGCCAGTCAGGGACACAGATTGATACACTGTTAGGTTTGTTAGGGACGCTTGACTGTTAGATTACTTGGTCTGTCAGGGACAGTAGACTGTAAGATTACTTGGTCTGTCAATGTTTGGGATTATTACACTATGTTTGTCAGGAACACAGATGTTTAACGCCTAGAGTGACAGGTTAGTTTGTCAAGAACTACGGTCACTTTTGATTCTTCTGTGCATTCTTTACTACCACTGTGTCTCAGAATGTACTTTCAGGAACAATTACATAAAATTTTAACCGTAAAAAGACATTCAAATTTAAACTTAACTTTTACATTTATGCCCTATACAAATGCCAATTATGTATTCATCGTCAGGATAAAAGGAAAATTATTACTGTTTTTCATTACAATTCATTGAAATGACGAAGCTTTAAATGTTGTGTTTCCAAGGTTTTCTATTTTAAAGTTGTTCATAAAAGTTAAATAGCAAGACTATGTTTGATTACAAATTCAATGACAATTTTATGATGTCATGGTGTTTGCATATTTGGCGGTGATAAAGGTGTCTTTTTTAAGTGTATAGATTATCACGTTTACTTGTATGCACCGTGCTAATGTTTCACCAGGTATTATGACCTCTTTCACCTTATCTTTTAAATATGAACTTTCCTCATATTGAACAAACTCTTAAGTTAGTGATACAATTACGCAAATGACAAAATATTTTCAGATATAATTATGGCATTGTTGATCATTTTGAAAAACCGTTGATGACTAAACACAGAATTTAGAAAAGTTTGAATTTTTCTAAATTTACCTGTCAGTGGTTAAGATTTAAATCTAAATTTAGTGTAAATTTTAGAAAAAGAAGACTGTAAAACAGGTTGATGGGCAGTGAGTCACACGGAGGGTACAATATGTATTGTTTAACTAACGGCTTCCCTTTTTGTCCCCAATCTTTACAAGACCATAGGGTGACACGGCGTAAACAATTCAGATATATCCACTTTCGTTGGGAGCCTTGTGACTAATTTCTGTACCTCGGAGAAACAAAAAGACATATGATATCTGTTTTTGTCTCGGAGCTTCTTACGCCTATTACTCGTGTGTATTATGATCTTTTGTTTATTATTTTAATTAAAAGCAATTATTTCCCCGTAAATAATCAGATTATCAGTTAATTAAGCTTATCTTTTCGTAGTTATAACTGTAAAAGTTTTTTTGTTTTCTTTAGACTTTTGTTAATACACAGGACAATACTTCAGTATGACAAAGACAAGGTTGATCATACAAAGGTTGTAGCTGATTGGAGAAAGTTGTCTTCACGCCAAATTAGCGACAATAAGTTTTTGAGTGGTAATTGTGGAAATCTTCCGTAGCATTAAGTTCACTTTCAACAGACAACTGTGTCATATCTATAGCAAACAAGAAACTGTAGACCCGACAAAGAAAATCGTGAAAAGAAATTGAAAATAGTATAATTATTCTAACACAAGCTGTGAAATACAATGGTTTTTATCTGCCAAAAATCACCAATGGTGTGATGTGGTGTCAACAACTATCCCAGGGAGCTTTTATATTGGACGGAGTGACGCTGAAATCAGCAATCTCTTTAATTATTTGACTTGAAAATAAATATTCTTTGACAAACTTGTAAAAGAACAAAAAAATATAATAAGTTGAGAAGTGAAAAGTCAGTGCTATTGTTTACATTGTAAGAAGGTCAGTGCTATTATTTACTTTGTAACTCCCATTTTAATTGGCGTTGCTTGGCCTGACTTTTAACAACTAAAAGACCAACAAAACTCTCAGTCAGGTCTGAAGCGCTCCAGAGTTGGTTTGGTGAGGTAACAATGCCCGTGATTTGCTAGACTAGGACCGCTATAATTTATAAGCAATTTGTTGGCTACAATAATTATATGTGTTGAAGAGCTGTGGGTAGAAACTGGCTGTAATGTTAAAACATCTCTCAGTGGAGTGGTATCAAATCGTCAGGTGAGTGGATGGGCATTGTTCCCCTTCCTTACAAGTGCTTCCTGCTTTTCTTCCCCTAAAGAACGATTTCAAAGTGTTTGTTGACTTTTCTAGAATAACATTGAAAAGGAATATTTCAAAGCTTTGCCTTACGCAAACATTTAAAAACTAATGTTTTCGTTGTTGCTATTCCAGGAGACTTGAGGGTGCGTGTGACAGTGTGCTACTATAAATTGTACTGGAACTAGGGCGGGAGACTGCAGAAGTCAAGGTAAGGTATTGTGTGAAGTTTTTACAGATAATCTTAGGTAATTTTTAATATTGATCATTCTCCTATGGGGATACAATTTATGGCATCTTTTTTTTTCAATAAGAAATTACACGTACATGTATTTTAATGCATCATTCAATTTGAAACTGAATTTATCACTTAGATTGATTTTGATTTTTTTTCTTATTCAATTTTATGTGAAAACAGGAATTAAAATTTAAAGACATTTAAACCAAATGTGTACTATGTCACATTTAATGTGTAGATGTAAGGAACGGCTACAAGAAACGATTCCAGGCAAGCATAACACTTTTATTGTAATCCATAAACCAATTTTTTAAAAATCTAGCGAAAAAACTTAATTTGAAAAGAAATTGCCCAGTCATATCCCAGAGAGTTTTTGATAGATATTTCAAGTTATTCACATTTCCATCTGATGACATTGATCAGCTTATTGGAGTTGTCAGATTTCAGCAGTTATTGTCTGAAGGTGACATTTAAAAGGTGACAGAAAAACTTTAAAACTTGATGTGTTGTGAGATAGAGCTACCCTGAATGTATTAGTCACTGACGCGGCCACGGGGACAGATTATCGGAGCCTCGACTACCAGTAAGGCTGCTACAAACTCGGTTCTGTTGTTTTACAAGAAAAAAGAAGTGAAATTCAATATTTATCACCTTGAATTTAGGAGTGTTACGGTGAGAGGGATAACGGTAGTGTCATTAAAATCCCTCGTTGTAGTGACTGGGTACACCATTAGTTAGCCAGGGGGTTAGGACGCAGGTCACACTCTCATCATCAAGGTAGGTTTTTAATTTTACTTCCAAGACAAAAATATCGGCAACATCTAACCAAAAATATTGGCAACATCTAACCAAAAATATTGGCAACTTCTAATCAAAAATATCGGCAACATCTAACCAAAAATATCGGCAACATCTAACCAATTTTTTTTTTTTATTATTTAAGCAGTTAAAAGTAATTTTATTTATTAATAAATCGATGCCATTATTAATTATATTTAAGAACATTGATTTGACATGAGATATTGTTGTTAAAATGATGGCTGTTGATTGGAGCAGCTACCTTAAAATCTCTGTGATCTGGACTCTTCATTTTCAATTGGGCCTTCAGTAAATTTTGTTTTTGTTCCGGAAATCCTTACATTTGTTTATGAAACAAATACACCTTTATACTTTCTTAGGACATATGTTGGAATATAACAGAGGTAGCGGATGTTTATAGACGTTAGTTTTACAGGTGTGTCCTAACGCCAGTCAGCATTGATTGGTCTGTACTCTTACCCCAGTAATGGTGAATAGGGAGCCGGCTCGGCCCCTAAGGTAATATCGGATATCTCACAGTAGTAATAACAGCCCATGGTTTTATTACTGGTGGGTTTTTGTCCCTGAACCATCTGTCATGGAGCCATTTTACAATCATATCATAATAACACATGAACTACCCGTAAATAAATTACTTCTTTGTTATTTTAATCTGCCTGGACAAGTGCAAAAGTGTTCAAGTTTTATGCCTCAGGAAAAAATATGCACCTTTGAATTATGTTTCCTGTGCTTTCTGTCAGGCCAGGAGTCGTATAGATTTGGCAGCCAGGTATTTGGGAGATGTGGTTCGTGCTGACTTTTGATGGCAGTTCCCCTTTGTTTATATGCATGTAAAGCTGATAAAAATTAACACTTGATTACTTTCACTGTTTTCTGGCTGTTTAGTAATTCTATAAAAATGTGTAGAATAAAGTGTCGATGATGAGTTTAACCCAGAAGCCTGACCTCACACTTCACCCCGTGTCACTGTTAGTGTTTCCCGGGATTTAAGGGTCAGAGTCTACAGAAAATCTTTCATTTGGTCTCACAATTAATCTGATGGATTTTAGACCGATATTCTTCCAGAAAAATAGTCTCTCTCAGGTAAAAGTAGCCGAGTCGCCAGCTAGCTTTTACCACCAGTATGATAATTCACGGGTGAATGACCACTAATTGTTGCAGGTTAGTTTCTGAAGCGTATCTGAGGTATGATCTGTAAGGTATCCATTAATGCTAATGTCCATCCCGAATGTCCAGTTAAAAGTGATTAGAACTGACCACTTAGACATATGCAGCTGTAAATTCAACATAAAGTGTCAGTTTCTCGTTAAGTACAGTCATCATAAAGTGTCAGTTTCTCGTTAAGTACAGTCATCAGGGATGAAATCATTGTCTTCAGTTTTATGCTCTGTATTTTTTCCATGGTAACATAAGGGTTCCCATGGTAACATAAGGGTTTCCATGGTAACATAAGGGTTCCCATGGTAACATAAGGGTTCCCATGGCAATAGAAGTCCAAGGAGGGATACATTTCAGGCTGGGACGCATTAATTTCCTGCTGTATTTCATTTTAAAAGATTAATATCGTCTGTTTTCAGTTCTCTCATTTCACGTTCCTGTTTTTTCATTTGTACCCGTACCCATTACTTGTTTGACGCGGTATACCAGGGGCTGATTGTTTGACACGGTATACCAGGGGCTGATTGTTTGACGCGGTATACCAGGGGCTGATCAGTACCACCAAGGGAAATATTTATTCCATTAGCAATACATCACAATATTTTCTCTCACCGTTTTCACACATATTTATCTGAATGTATCTTTGATCATGCCGACAAGTTCATATCTCGCTATAAAATATATTATAGTTTTATGTTTTTATTTTTTTAATCTTTAAATCTATTTGCAATTTTTAAGAATTGGATGTTTGTAGGATCATAAACAACATTTGTATGTAGATGGATCCACTTTGATTAAGTTCAGTAGGACAAATTTGATATCTTAACCCCTGATCCGTCATTCCATATATAAACTGTACTGCACTGTTATGTATATAGGGATCAGTTCTATTAATACTATATCAAACTCTTCACATATAATACTGCAAAACCACTTTTCTGAAGAAATTTATGTTTAAATATATATCTCTAAATTGTCAATTTTTGGTAATAGTGTGGTGTTCTTGTGCTGAAGTCTAGATAAACAGCTTGTGTTGTGAATTATTCAACAGAACCAGGTGGCATGATGTGTTCTAAAATTGATGGAACTACATGTAGTGCAAACGTGTCCCAGTTCCAGTGAGTGTCATGGTCACCGATCAGAGTTTGTAAAATGTTATCAATTACAAAAACAGATCCCTTGGAAATCATGATGGATGTAGAACACTAGGGAGTTTTATATCTTCAAACTCTTGGCATCAAATATGTAGGGTTTGACCTTCATATCATAAATCTAGCTCTGATTGTGTGAAAAATTGATGATTGTTTCCTCTGAATGTCCATTATTTATACAGGTATGATTATATATGGCAGGTAGTCGTGACATCTGACGATGTTAGGGGTGTGATGAACAAACCAGACAAGTTAGTATAATGGTAACCATGTGTGGTATACCTGTACAGGGACCAGGCAAGTTAGGATAATGGTAGCTATGTGGGATATACCTGTATAGGGACCAGACAAGGTAGTATAATGGTAACTATGTGTGGTATACCTATACAGGGACCAGACAAGTTAGTATAATGGGAGCTATGTGTGGTATACCTGTACAGGGAACAGACAAGTTAGTATAATGGTAACTATGTGTGGTATACCTGTAAAGGGACCAGACAAGTTAGTATAATGGTAGCTATGTTTATTATACCTGTACAGGGACCAGACAAGTTATTATATTGGTAACTATGTGTGGTATACCTGTACAGGGACCAGACAAGTTAGGATAATGGGAGCTATGTTTGGTATACCTGTACAGGGACCAGACAAGTTAGTGTAATGGTAACTATGTGTGGTATACCTGTACAGGGACCAGGCAAGTTAGGATAATGGTAGCTATGTGGGATATACCTGTATAGGGACCAGACAAGGTAGTATAATGGTAACTATGTGTGGTATTCCTGTACAGGGACCAGACAAGTTAGTATAATGGGAGCTATGTGTGGTATACCTGTACAGGGAGCAGACAAGTTAGTATAATGGTAACTATGTGTGTTATACCTGTACAGGGACCAGACAAGTTATTATATTGGTAACTATGTGTGGTATACCTGTACAGGGACCAGGCAAGTTAGGATAATGGTAGCTATGTGGGATATACCTGTATAGGGACCAGACAAGTTAGTATAATGGTAGCTATGTTTATTATACCTGTACAGGGACCAGACAAGTTAGTGTAATGGTAGCTATGTGTGGTATACCTGTACAGGGAACAGACAAGTTAGTATAATGGTAACTATGTGGGGTATACCTGTACAGGGACCAGACAAGGTAGTATAATGGTAACTATGTGTGGTATACCTGTACAGGGACCAGGCAAGTTAGTATAATGGTAGCTATGTGGGATATACCTGTATAGGGACCAGACAAGTTAGTATAATGGTAACTATGTGTGGTATACCTGTGCAGGGACCAGTCAAGTTAGTATAATGGTAGCTATGTGGGATATACCTGTATAGGGACCAGACAAGTTAGTATAATGGTAGCTATGTGTGGTATACCTGTACAGGTATAATGTTAATTATGACAAGGTAATGTATACATTTGTTTTCTATCATGTCTGTGAAATTGAGAAATATTGAGCAGTTTAAGATAGCAGCTATTGATAGGTGACAGGTATGTTTACTGTAACACAAAGGGGGAGATAACACAAAATAACAGGGGTAAGTCTCCGCTCTGTATCTGTGGAAACGGGCCACCCATTCTGTAGGATAGGGATAGAGATAAATATTAATGAAATACCTCTACCTCCAACCCAGTGCAGTGATGATAGAGATTTGGTAATTGTGTCCTGTCTGACACGAAACCTTTATCTGATAGTCAGTGTTTCAGCTCTACCCCATTGTAATACAGAACCTGTACAACCTCAAACCTGTCTGCTCTAAATATTATATTTCTGTCCCAGACATTTTCTGATTGGAGCAGATTCATAGTTCAGAATTTTCTGAATTTGTTAATTACAGT